TATACATATACATATATTTTCATATAAAATAAAGTATATTTTTTTGAACATTAAGATGCAACACATTATTTAAAATTACTGTTAGTCCTGTACACTTTTTATTCTTACAATATCCAAGCGATTACTTAACTAAAAGTCTTTCAATAATAGACTATACATAAAAAAATTGTTAATCGTCATCTTTTCATTCGAATTACATCGAATGTGAGGGCAATCGATTACGTTCTCAAAGAGACCATTACCCTGAACGGTTTAGGACCAGCTGTCACACCGTCCACAAAGTCTTGCGACGATGGCTTCTTTTGTCCAGGTACTGGAGAAAATGTGAATGCTTGCAGCAGCGCTGTAGCTATGATAAATATATTGCTTCTAGCTAAATTTTCACCCATGCAACGATGTCTCCCTAACGAAAATAACATTGGCGAAATAACGTCGTTGTGAAAAAAGAAACGTAACATATTTTTATACTTTAAAATACATACCGATGCTAAATGGAAAATATACGTTCGGTGCGATAATGTTACCACTTTCGTCTATAAATCTTTCCGGCCGGAAATCTTCAGGATCACCCCATGATTCGTCCATTAATATTCTATTAAAGTTTACAATCAGCATCGTATCCTTCGAACGAAAAAAAAAAAACAAAAAAAATTGCCATAGTTCGATCATATTTTCCTTACTTCATTCTACGAAATATCTACCTTTGGTATTTTATGACCTAATATCGTGGTGTCTTTTAGCGCTCTATGCGGTACGTTCAATGTTCGTCCCATGAACATTCTCAACGACTCTAACACGATAGCGTTCATATACGTCATTCTAAAATCAAATAATTTCATTTTACCAAATTGGTTACTATTAAACAGATTAATGACTTTAGAATCGATAGAATTCTTATCACATCACCTCGCTCTATCCTCTAAAGTTGGTGGTCTGTTACGTCCAATAACTCTGTCTATTTCTTCGTGTGCTTTCTTCTGGACACTTGGGAACAACACTAAATACAAGAAACAAAAGCCAAGAGCTTTGGACGTAGTTTCTGATCCTGCCATGAACAAATCCACGCAGATCGCGAGTAATTGAGACTCTGAAATACAATTCGGTACCGATCGTACAATACGTACCATTCAACTCTTATCGTTAAACCGCGTATGTAACATTGAACTACCTGAAAACGTGCTGCTGTAATTCTCAGACTTCAGAACAGTCAGGTAGACGTCCATTAAGTCTCTCGGTGAGCCGGATTTGAAAGAATCGCTATGATCGTCCAGTTCTTCCTGCAATCGCAATACTTAAAATTTCCGCACAGTTAATCGATCGAATCGGCTAGTTGGAAAGAACAGTTGGTTCACCTTTAAAAATTTCCAAAGTTGCTGATGAATCTCCAGGAACGATTTGTAACCGGACATTTCCGGGGCGATAAATCTCAATATCGGAAAATGACCGAACGGTGCGCCTATCATATCGATCTCCCTCAGAAGTTTCGTCAGGATCCGTTGGAAATAAGTTAACTCTTTATCGTCCAGATTAAATCTGAATGAAAGATAATTCTAATGCAAGTGTTTCTTAAATGAAACTATCGACTGAAGAATTTGAAAGAAAGAAAGAACGAACAACCTTTTACCAGCCATCATTCTCCACAACGTATTGAGCACCGTAACTCCGAACGCGTCGTCCATTGGAATCACCATTCCTAGATTCGACTGAGCCAACTTCTTGATTTCTATGTACTCGTTCGCGCTCACGTACATATCGCTAGCTTTCAATTGTTTCCCACTCGTTCGATATTTATCCGTCGATTCCGACTCGTTCGTTTTGTCTTTTCTCATCAATTTATATATCTGCCCGTCGTCGTGCGCGTTATTGTTACAACGAACGCTCGACTCGTTCACACGATTGTCGTAACTATTACCGATCAACTTCTTGAAATGCTCAACCAGCCATACAGCCTCCTCCTCTATTATCATCGCCATGCTCTTCCGGCCGAAGCCAAAATCGCGAAGATGCTTCAGCACGAATCTTCTCTGTTCGATCCACAGATTTTCGTCCACGACGATTAAACCTTGAATCGAGAGAAACTGTGTTTAGCAAAAAGGTACGGAATATTGTTCGATGAAAAATGTTACCACACTGTTGTTAAACGTTTCACCTCTTCTCGAGCCAAATGTTCTCGTCTCGTAGACAGGACCAATTGGTCTTCCGTCGCAGTCTTCGTTGGTCAACATCGATCGAATACTCTCGTAGTCGTTCAACACTACTATACGATCTGTACCAATTTTTAAACCGACCACTGGTCCGTACTTTTTACACAAGGCGGAACATGTTTTGAACAAATATCCGGTTTCCTGACGGAGACGCGCCATCTCGATGGCGCAGCCCAAAATTGGCCACCATTTTGGACCTAAAATAATTCCAACGTAAAGTTACACGGTCACTTCTTTATTGTCAACGTTTGAAAAGCATATTTCTTAATTTGATTGTACTGTATGATACAGGTAGTAAGAGGTACGTGTAACACCTGGAGGATATCCTTTCGGTTTCCTTGATCCTAGATACAGGAGTAGCAGTAATAGCACCATCAGCAGCATAAGCGTGGAGAACATGCTGCAAACAGAACGAATACTATGTTAAAATTATATTTATAAACTACTTGATATTTTCTTCGAATTTGCCAATCTTCGATGTTAATTTAGATAGAACTATAGCGGTTTGTGTGATATAAAATTCGTTCGATCGAACGAAGAGTGGAGATAACGTATATTTGCAAGTGTTTCGACGTGAGAAAGAAATTGAAGGGAATGGAAGAATAGATACGTTTTTGGAAGAATCGCATCGACTCCGATCAGCTCGATCACCAGTTTCGAATATTTCGGAACGAATGGCGCGTTTGTGCCGCGTACACTTGAAAAAGAAAGTGAAACACACGGACTCATGGGAGAAAGTTGCATACAGGAAGGACCAAGGCATACACTCACTTCCATTATTTCATAACTTGTTGCATAACCACGATTCACGCATTTTAACGTATTGATCCTATTTAATGCATGCAGTCTTCTCTTCTGCGATACTTTCCCACTTCGACGAGAGTTGCCCGGCGAATATTTTCAACGCGATCGTTCCCGACACAAAGTATCACCACGATCGTTTGTATCCTTTTTTTCATTTTCCTCGTTTTATCGGAGCAATTGTTGCTTTTATTCTATAATAAATATAGCGAAGAGAATTTAGAATAGATTTAAGATTTTAAGTGAATCGTTGTATTCGAAGGAATAACTTAACAATTGCGTTTATCGAGTTACCGTGATTAATTTGACGAATAAAAGTTGCTTCAAATTTGGATAAAATTTTGAAATATGTATGAACGAGGAAGGGAACGATTTTCCTAGACACCCCCCACTCGAATCCTTGTATAAATCTTACCTTGCACCTGGAGAAATGCACTCTTCTGTTGTATAAGCAGAACTGGCCGTGGATCAGCCAGCAAACGGCTTTTAAATACCCCTCTTCGTCTCCGACGATCTTTTATTTTGCTGGCAAAAGTGGTTGAATAACAGCCATAAGATGTAACCCAATTTAGGCGCAGTTCGTACAATATTATACACGTATCGTGGACAAGATATTTATTTCATACGTGTAAAATTCTCTGCGTATTATAATCTTCTATGCTTTTCCTCGTAAATGCTTCATAAGAATACACTCTATCGATACTTTTATTACAAGCAAAAGTAATATCAACTTTGACGTTAAAAAGGGTTGAAAAATATTGCGTAGTATTTTTTTTAGATTTAATGTTTTTATTATATAACAGTTTAATTACAAATACACTTATATTATTTTTCTTCTGGTTCTTCAATTTCCTCCGTTTTACAATAGTCAAACGGTAAACGATCACCCCAATGGCTTTTCCTTGCGCAGCTATACGTAATTCTAAAAATACAGAATATTATATGAAGACAATCTAAGTGTTTTATAATTGGAATTTTGTTCAACTGAAAAGATACAAACTTTCCGTTCTTCCACGCGGTAAATATTTGTTCTTCTAATTTTCCCGAACTCGTACATAGACGGCATATGACATGTCTAGAAGGTTTTAGTACCGGTCTAACAATTCGTGGCCACCTGCTATCATCTTCTGGACGTTTACCTATAATTCCAATAAAAAATAATTTTCTCTGTTCGATTCTCTCTTTTAAGCATTTTATGAAGTAGTAACTGTTTTATCATGTACCTTTCTTTAGTACCACATATGAATAACGTTCCCATTGGTATGAAGCAGTTTCACCAATAGGTAACGTTAGATACGACAATTGGAAATTGCAGGGGGTATTATCTGCCGTGTATCTGGGACATTCGAAGTCGTGTGGGCACTGAAATAATAATTATGGAATTGATGTTTTCTGCAGGATAATTACTGTAGTTAGACAAGTATCTTACTTACAGGTGAAAATACATGTGCACCCTCTATTTCACTCCCATAATTAAGTATGAAATCTCGAGCTTCATTGATGATCTACTTAAAATAAACTGATCAGGTGAACATATGAATCAGAATGATTAAATACGTTGTGAAAGTGTAAAGCTTACCTTGTACCCAACTCTTGTTCCTGGTTCTACAATAACCAGATATTGTTCTGTCTTTTGCCATAGTTTCATAATTGTTTCAATACGAGCTTTTTGGTTTAGCAATTCCAGTAAAGAATATGCACTCACTACAATATCATAGGTTCGCTATAATGCAAATGATATGTTTAAAATTTACTTTAGATATTTATATGTGAAACAATATATACACTTACGATTGAGGTCGAGGGCAAAAATTGCCGATAAAAGATGTAATTTGGATTAATTGCTGGTGTAGCTTTTGTTATCAGGTATTCAGACAATTTCTGAATGTCTGAAGAAATATCAACACAGTAATATTCCTTGATAGAGTTAGCCCAGAATTGAGATGCTGACCTACATAAAATTAAACTTGTTTTTTAACATTTTTACTGTAATAGTAATTTACATATTTTTACAATTCAATAATTTTTGTATATCTTACCACATAACTGTACCAATACCAGAACCAAAATCAAATAAAGTCTTTGGTATGAAACTTTTATCATTATCAACAATTTCCTTAAAAATTCTATATAAAACAGTATATTCAGGTACACTTCTACCAACTAAATATGTCAAGCATGTGTATTTATCATATGAAATAGGTGCCCAATTATAGCAGAGGCTCCTAAAAAGTGCTTTAGCCTTTGGATCTTGAAGTAGTTCTTCATTACTTAAATGTTTTGTGTCATCTATTTGTAATCTTGACCGAACTTCTTGTAATTTTAATTTAATATCTTCTGCTTCAAGTGGAACATGTCGGTTATGCAGGTGTAATGCTAATTTTTTACTACTTGCATAAATCACTTTTGGTGAAATAGTTTCATCTGCACAAAAAAGAAAAATATTTCAAATATTTAATTAATAATCACAAAACCTTATAATGATAATATTAAATAAATTTTTATCAATTTATCACCTTTTAAAATTGTCAGAATTGTTCCTGTTAGCCAAGTGGGTTGTTCTATTTTTTTGGGATGTATTGCACCTGGATAATTTTTAGGTTTAAGTTCTTTGTTTAAAATTAATTCATTTACAGTCTCGATAACTTTCATCTTTGGCTTTGTTGAGTACTAATGAAAATAGAAACAAACAACTAATCTTAAACTTCTATACCGTAACTACTACTAATTAATAATTCATAGGAAAAAATAAATTATCATTATTTTCGTTAAAATAAAAGTATTAATATAAAATTGTTTAATTACTCCTTCGATATTAATTCTCTGTTGATGAAAAGATTGTGTATAAAGCCTTAACGTTCATAATATAATCATAAAAAATTTTTCAATTTATCAAAATTAAAATGAAAATACTAAAAAATTATAAAGCATTTACAAAATACAATAGCGACACTGGGATGTGATACGGTACGTATCCAATAACCTTAAAGAAAATGTACATACAGATATCTATCGTCCGTTTAAATTGGTTTTTTCCAAAATAACTTATGATTCTTTTTAACAAACTGTTAATCCTGGTGTTCGTATTCTGGTATATTCAGTGAAATACAAATATCACAATTGTCCAGTTAATTAATTCATAGAAAAAATGAAATTTACAGAGCACTTAAGTGCTCATATCACACCAGAATGGAGAAAACAATACATAAATTACGAGGTAAAATGAGAATTATTATTTTTCATTTTAAGCTGATGTTATGAGTTAATAATTATTCATTGTATTGAAGAAACGAAAAAACTTATATTAAGACAATAAAATTGCTATATAGGAAATGAAAGCATTGCTCTATGCTGCAGTAGAACAGGCACCAGCAGCAGACATAACAGAATCCCATGTTTTGGAACGTTATTTTAATAAATTTGACGAGAAGTTTTTCCATTATTGCGATAAGGAATTGGCAAAGATAAATACGTTTTATTCAGGTAAATTGTACTTTCTATAACAATTATTTCATTTATCCATAATTTACAATAAAAAATTTGTTCATTTTTTCAGAAAAATTAGCAGAAGCAACTCGCAGATTTGCAGCTCTCAACAATGAATTATGTGAAATTCAATCAGTTGCTGAAGATAGGCATGCAAATCGTAAAATTCGTTACCGTAACAATATTTTATACAAGAAACCAGTTTCAGCACGCAAACTTCAAGAACTAAAATTAGCTTTTTCTGAATTCTATCTCTTCCTAATTTTACTTCAGAACTATCAAAATTTGAATTTCACTGGATTCAGAAAAATTTTGAAGAAGCACGATAAAGTAAGCAAAAACAATAGGTATCTGTAAATGTTTATACTTGCATTAATTAATAAGAAACATATTATAGCTTTTAAATATAGACCTTGGGGCAAAATGGAGAGCAGAACATGTAGATACAGCATTATTTCACACACACAAAGACATAGACAGACTTATTGCAGACACAGAAGCATTGGTTACCAGAGACTTAGAACATGGGGACAGACAACGTGCTATGAAACGTTTGAGGGTCCCCCCACTTGGAGAACAGCTTTCTCCATGGATTACATTTAAAGTTGGACTTTTTTCAGGGGCCTTTATTGTTCTTCTTATAGCAGTGATACTTTCAGGTAGTTAAGTATATATTGTACGAATTTTACAAATATTATAATATTTTAAAAAATATAT